TCGGTACATGGCTCGGCAAATGGCTCGGCGCATGGCTCGGCACATGGCTCGGCATATGGCCCGGCACATGTCCCGGCACATGGCTCGGCATATGACCCGGCACATGTCCCGGCACATGGCTCGGCACATTTCCCGGCACATGGCTCGGCACATGGCTCGGCGCATGGCTCGGCTCGGCGGCCGAAGCTCAAGCTCGAAAACTTTGACGGCTCGCCACTGCGGTGACCTCGTTGGCGCTCGCTGTTAAATGCAGTGGTGCACGAGCATCGGGGTCTGAGCGAAGCAGAAAAGCTCTCTCACCTGCAGTCTTGCCTCTCACTGGAGTGGCACGTGACGCGGTCAGAGGTGTACGGTCGACACCGTGAATTGCAGACCCATGCTGAGATTTCGTACTCGGGGTCCTCCGAGTGCGTGAAACGGAGAGTGAGCCTAGGAGCACCTCGACTCAATCATTCTGTGCAACTGACAAGAAAAATCCGTTTTTTGACACATCATGCCAGAAACCCCTTCGAGTTCTGAGCGGATTTTGCATGGAGAATGTTCGGTTTTGAACAATCTTTGGGTTCTGCTCCAACAATCTCGGTTGTACAGCAAACACATCAGTTGGTCGTATTTATATCTGCTTTTATTACAGTGGCAGCGCGTAAATAGGTCGACTGGATCGGCTAAAGGAGCAAAGACGGAAGTAAGTACAATGAAACCACAAACCTTTCCAGACTTCAATCGGCCGCATTGAATGCTTTGCCTACGCCAGTTGGCACACTGAAGGATTGTTGTCGGTGCATTTTCTGTCGTTCCACTTGCCGTATATGAGGTGTTCACTCGACTTCGATCCCAAAATCTCCACACAATCTTCTTCATCGGATGCGTCATCGGGCTGGCCACGGGCCCATGCCTTGAAGTGCTCTCCCGTCAGTGGACGACCTTCCCAATCGACAAATAAGCCTTCGCTATACCGATCGTTGATGCCCAGCCACTTGTTCTCTTCACTGGCCATGACGGCGACGCACAGGTTCTCTTCACGACTGCGTGGCACCGCCAGGTGTGAGTTGATCTGTACACAGCTGGCCTCAGCTTGGTCGTGCGTCATGAACGCCTCTTGCAGTTTGTAGCAGTGTCCAGCGCACCACTTGAAACCCTCAGGGCAGCCGCACTGAGAGACACTGGGTTTACTCTCCGGCTGCTTCAGACTCCCGCAGTGAAACTCCAGCGCCTCGTTGACCACCTCCTGGAGGTACTGCCGCAGGGTGCCGGCCGTGTAGCGGTCGCCACCGCAGCCTGCGAGGCAGACCAGCGCCGAGAAAGCCGGCCACCACCGGATGCCGGCAGAACGCGGCATTCCTCTCGCGCGCGTCTAGAGCTGGCTCAGCCGCGTGAGATACTGCCTCTCCCAGTGTCTGGAGCAGACTGCACCACTGGCACGCGCCGTCCCATGGGCTTCTCAGCTGTCATGCAACGTTGAGTTTCCAAGTACAGCCAACCAGTAGCCGGGGGTCCCATAGTCGTTAAGCACACGTCACGTCTAATCCTGGCTGTATCAGTTGCCAGTGACAGGTCACGTGACGACAGGCCTTACGTGCCATGCTCATAAGGAAACTAAAAAATTACCACCGTGAGAGGCTTCGCATGTATGGTTCGCCGGAACTCCGCTGTTTCAGTGTGCCGAGGACTCGTACACATTCAAACTCCCCTGTGTGTAGAAGGTCCTGTTGTAACATTAATGTCCACCACCACTGGCACGCGCCGCTCCATGAACCTCCCCAGCAGTCCCCGCAACGTAGATATTCCAGGGACAGCCAACCAGCAGCCGGAGATATACTAACCACACATCCCGTGACGTCCTTCATGAATCAGTTGCCAGTGCCAGATTACGTGGCGACGGTGCTTATGTTCCATGCCCTTGTGTGAAGTTGAGAGGTGAGAACTTTAACTCCGAGAGAAGCAGCCTATCTCAAAACCAAAGTTCCAATGCTCATAGAAGTTATGTCAAGGAGGGTGTACAGTTTAAACACTACAAAACGTACAATTTGGCTTGGGGTTCCTGTTTTTAAAGATATGACGCGTCACACTCATAACGTTTACAAACCTTTGCAAATCTGCTGCAAATGTATTCATAACATGGCTGATGGTCCTTAGATCATAATACTATGGCAGGATTGTGGGGTGCCGGGGCAATTCAACTTTGTGAAAAGACAGATTTCAGGGACGCATCGGTACGGAAAATCCATGAGAGACGCCCTACCGATTTTTGTGCGCGATGCCTCAGCCCGCAAATTGTCTCCAACAGCCAAACAGCGGGAGGACTGCGGTGTCTGAACGTCACGCCAGTCTGTTCAAAGCCGTGTCTGCTTGTCCGCATATCACACAAGCCCAATAGATTGTCTTTCCCTCAACCCCGGCACTGGACGTCCTTTGGTCAACATGGGCTGGGCTGGGCTGGTCGAATTGGGGGCTTTGGGGGCTGGTCGAATTCGGCAGAGAGTGCAGGCAAGACTAGGAACTGAGCCCGTTCAGCGAGGGGCGCAATCACTTGCTGAGATCCACCCATAAATCGCCAGAGAGCGACGGTTCTGACACGAAAAGATGATAAAATAGTGATATCTGACAGATATCATTATCATTATATTACGCTTCGATATGAATCCTGCTGAATCGTTGCGTTCAACGAAATGGTCCTGTACTGATTACTGTGGCCGGCCGAAGCTACATTAGAAGCGCAAACTTGGGTTCAGGCGTGGCTTCATCCCCGCTTTATCATAACTGGTACCCGGCCTCAACTACGAAGACACTTACACACCCACCAAATCGAGAAGATGGTGGCTCAACATTTCCAACGTGCGATGTGGGTATTTTGCGTGGCATTTGCGGGCTGGGGCAAACCTGACGGAGTCGCGCGCGATACGCCAGCGCAGGTTATCGATCGCGGTATTGGATACACGGCACAATACGGCACGGAAATGACGGAGATATACTAAAGGTCAAGCTTATCCGCTGTCTACAGAGGACCTATCAATCCTCACTAGTGTCACACTCCAGCGTGCATACACATAAGCCCGGATGTCGGTTAATGCCACTGACTGATCTGGTCACGCGCTGTTCACATACGTCCTTGCACGGACGTAAAAACAAAGCATAGATGTCTGTAGCGAATGATGTGCAGTGATGTGTAGTGATGTGTAGTGATGTGTAGTGAGCGATGTAGTAAGCGATGTAATGAAATGATGTCTGCGCGTTAACAAAACATTGGTAAAAATACTCCCACATGTCGTGTCCCTTGAATTGTGAATCTACCGCTCATATAGAGACAGCCCTATGCAATTGCAAACGCACCTTACACGTTTTAAAAGTAATGGTCATGTTGAACTGGTTCCTGTTTTAATATAAAAGCTTTTACATGAGTTGTAAGGAGCATCTTCAATTCAAGGGCTCCAGTTACCGAACAAAGACATGAGCAAACGTTTGGAAGGAACTCAGTGAATGCTGTCGGACTCTTCCGCACCAGTGCGACTGCGGAAAACAGATGCGACCCAATATATGCTCCTAATTCGAACTGCATGATATTAGAAAGGTCAGTCTCAGTCTTCTCAAGAGTGGTAAGTTCACAGCCCACACGTCAGTATTTGCCACCGGTTCTACCTTGTAGCTTCTTACAAAGGCGCAAAAGTCGGGCAAGTGTTTGGAAGCTGCGTTTCAAGCCACTGTCAGTTACACTTTGTCTTTGTTGAAAACATGTCATTACGCAGCCTTGTGGCAGCGTAACACAACAACAATGCAATTATTTGAATGAGTGCTGTTGTTCAAGCGGCGCTATCATCTTCTGCAATCTTGCTCGCAACGTTGGTTGTTCATGCTGTTGTAAGACAGCACTTCCCATCCGTTAGCCTGCCGCTGCTGTCCGCCAGATTTCAGGAGAAAACACGGCATACGTCGGAGCTAATGTCACTTGTTTCACTCTGCCGTTTCTCTGTGAAGCATCCAACCGCCCACCATTTGTACATCCGCGCACACACGTTAAAAGCACGGCCTTTAAGAGGAAAAACACTACAATTTCGCTCCAGTGCACATTTTTTGTTCCAGCATAACGTTGTCCGAATCGGCAAAGTACGAACACGAAATCAAGCATCTTAAAGCTACCGCTGGATCGTGATTACACACAAGCAGGTACATACGCTCCATTTCACCTTTGGTTATGGTGGGGAATATTTATGAGGACTTCCTCTCGAACAGTAGCATACAGTTTTCAAGAGAGTACCATGTAGACGCGCATAATTGACATGCCGAAAGTTTGGCAATGTTATATTCATTCAAATACATCCCCCTGCTCTGTGCTCGCGGGCAGTTCATGCAGCGGGAAGCGTTGTTTATTTCGAATAAACGGGGGATCTAGGACGTCAGTGCTCAGTTCCATTCATCTCACCTCTTGAGTTAAAGACATTTGGTTGATATCATGTTGATATGGTGCTATCTAAACGCCACAGTACTTGCAACCAAAACCGGGCCATGTGAACGCTGGGTTGGCTCTTGTTTATTTACACAACACACTGTTGACGCGTTAGCCGCAAAAAGATACGAAACAGGGCGCGTCCGCTCCCCTGCGCTCCAACATTCACTGCCGCCGCTCCGGAAGCGCTTGCTAACGTGTAAAGACCAGTAAATATCACATTGTTCACGGCAATTACACAAAGCACACATAACGGCTGCATTCAACACGATAATATTCAAATACCCAGCCAGCAGTGGACAGCCCGGTGCAACGATGTGCCCGGCACCTCACTCTCCTAGTAACAGGGCGAACCATGCACCCGTGGCGGCGGCGACCCTCATCTCTCAACTCACCACTCGGCCTCAAAGCTCTATCGCATGACAGTCAGCCATGCGGTCAGGATATGCATTCGGAAGATAAGTAGCTTGTTGTAATGAATCGCCCACTCGTGAATCACACCTACACCCAGCGGTAGCCACGGACCTCGGATGTAGCATGCACCCGACAGCATTGTCTGGTCATAACTTCCACCAACGGTGGGGGAGGGGGCAATCTACGCAGCTACGCAGCTACGCACTCAGCAGCTCTGCGTTGAACTGTTCTCTGCTGGGCAGCGAAAAAGCCAGCGGAATCGGACGCCCACAGCCACCTGAACAGATAAAATGTTCTTAACACAGTTCGCAAATTCAGCTCACTGGTAATCTGAGCGATAGGTGAGATTTACACCCACTTTATAGTTTTCGTGTGGAATAGTTGGTGACAGTACAAGTCCCTGGCATACTTTGCACGCACAGCTGTATATTGTTTTCTATAAGTCAACCATAACCATTCATTCTCGCACGTATCTTCAGGATTTGTTTCCAACCTTTTGAATGGATGGATTTCTGGGATGAGAGCTCACGCTAGACACTGCTTGCGTGTGAACCTTGACAACTGCAATCTGATCGTGCAGTTCCAGGTCAGGGCAGAATTTAGCGGCAAAATTTCAACATGCCACAATATCCGGCACGATGCGTCGTGTCCTCTGACGTCATCTGAGCTTTAGCGCGGCCGCTGCCATCGGCCGCAAGCCACATCCGTCGAGGTCATAAAGCGAGAACCCAAAGCGACTCGATCCCACTCCACCACGGATGGGGATCGAAAGTAGGTGCTCTAACCAACTGCACTATCGGGGCAGAAATACTTACCTCTTGTAGTCGACTTATATTATGTATATCAACACATCCTATCCAGTCCAACCCAACTGCATCTGGGGCAAGCTATACGACCCAGATCTGAACTGGCACAGTGCACCGAAGCTGCCTTCGTTGACCAACCGACAGCAAATCGATTTCAGGGTAAGGGAGCATCTTGCAGGGTACCCAAGCTAGAGAAGAGATACCCTGCTCTATTATCTTTGCATCGGGACCTTGCGCTTTTTGCTCTTGTCCTGCCCCACTCTCCGTTGAACTCCATTTTTTACTTCAGTGTCGCACGCGCCTGAATACATGATGGAAGCGTTGTACGCGTCTCAATACATGATGGGAGCGTCGTGCGCGTATGAATACATGATGGAAGCGACGTACGCATATCAATACGTGATGGAAGCAGTTACATGTGATCCCAGCACTACAGTTCGTCTACCAATATCCCTCGCAAACCCGGCTGCTTGTTTAGCCCCGTGCAGCCGGCGGCCAGCGCCAGCTCGGCGCCCCTGCCGCTGGCGTCGTTGCTGGGCTGACCTTCGGGCGCTGGGGAGTCGCTGGCGAGCTGAGAGGCCGTCACCGAGCGCGTCTGCAGCGTGCTGCTTCGGGCCAGGTTGGTGCCCTGCAGGCAGACACCGGACCGTCAACTCGAGACGCTCGGACGGCCTTGCGTTGACCCACGTCACATCACATCACGTCACATCACATCACATCACATCACATCACATCACATCATCACATCACGTCACGTCACGTCACGTCATCAGTCATCACATCACATCACGTCATCAATCACTCACATCACGTCACACCACATCACATCACATCACGTCACGTCACGTCACATCACTCACATCACATCACATCACATCACATCACGTTCTTCACAGCTGCGCGGATTGCCGTCTGCAATCGTCCTGGCGCCGTGCAAATGCATTGTGATGACGTGCGTGCGTGACGAGATGCGCTGAGGCTTGACGGCGCGGAGGACTTTTTCCGTGTTTGTAAGAAGTCAACTCACAAAACCGTGCGTCCCCAAAACGACATAATCCGGTCTCCACCTCATAACAATTGGCTGGTCTATTCTGCTTTAGCGTGAGTGCGTAATAGTCCTTTTCACGCAAACCTTTTGGGACTAAAACCTTCTTTGGTACCAAATTTGCAATCTCGAAAATATGACAAGGGAATGATATCCATGGTTCATCGTCAAACTTGCCAAAATAGACATAACGGTTTGCTCCAGAGGCGCTTTTGTTTCATCATCAAGCACTTATTTGTTAAGTCATAGTTGCAGTACTTAATGATTTGGTCCCATGCAACCAAATGCACAAACGTAAAATGGCGAGTAGGTACATGACGATGAAACAAAAACGCTTCCAGAGTCAGGTTTACCGGCTATTTTGATTTACCTGACGACAAACAAAAAGTTTTAATCGTGACTATCCCATTTTCCGTGTATTTCGGAACTAGGTGCATTTGGAATACTGCGGGGCAAATTAGGTAGCAGTGATGCGTGAAAGGTAAAAAGGCCTAATGTCTGAATGATGCACATGTGGATACCACGTGCAAAATGTGACCTAATACCCAAACCAAACATGTCTGTACAAATTGTTCTATCAGACGAGGTTGGTGCCAGAAGACGCACGCATTCACTGGTACAAAGGCACCAAGATTACACAGAGGGGAAGTTGGCTCCTTACTTAGAAACAACTCAGAGAGACTATGCCAGCCGTCACTGGCCCAGGGTACCGTCGAACCGGGCACATCACCGACCATTCCTGTCCAACGTCCCGCGCCAGCACCAGCCCGTTCCGGCCGCCCCCTCCCTTACTCTGTCAGCCCCAGCCCGTCCCGACTGCTCCCATCCCATACCCTCTCAGCCCCAGCCCGTCCCCACCGCTCCATTCGCCGTGTCCCGTCAGCCCCAGCCCGTCCTGACCGCTCCTCTCCCTTACCCCCTTAGCCCCAGCCCGTCCCGACCGCTCCCCTCCGCCGTACCCCGTCAGCCCCACCCCTTCCTGATCGCTCCCATACACCATAACACGTCAGCCCCAGCCCATCCCGACCGCCCCCTCCGCCGTACCCCGTCAGCACCAGCCCGTCCCGACCGCTCCCATACACCATAACACGTCAGCCCCAGCCCGTCCCAGTCGCTCCTCTCCCTTCCCCCTCAGCCCCAGTCCCGACCGCCCCCTCCGCCGTACCCCGTCAGCCCTAGCCTGTCCCGGCCACCCCGTCCCTTACCCCGTTCAGCAGGCGCCGTAGCTTGCTCAGCCGTTGCCCCAGCTGCCGGTTGTGCTCGTCCAGCTCCTGCATCCTGGTCTGCAGGGGGGCCTCGCCCTCGGGTCGGCCGCCGTCGGGCTCCTCCGCCGCCGGAGGAGGTGCGTTCTCCCCGGAGGAGGCCACCGGAGGCGGGGCCTCCTCCTCTTCCTCCTCCTTCGACGACTCTCGACCCAGCTCCGGCGGGGGTGAGGCGGGCAGAGCCGGGGCGGGTCGGCGTCGTCGCCGGCGCGCGGCGCCTCCGGCTCGGCGTTGGTAGGCGGACCGGCGGCGGCTGCCGGCAGGCCGGCCGGGGCGGCGGGGCCGGCGCGTGCCAGCCGCTGGTACTCGGCCTGGAGGGCGCGGTTCTCCTGCTCCAGCTGGCGGATGACGGCGCGCAGCTGCTCGTCGCGCGTCTCGTCCGACACGCCCTCGGACGAGAGGCTCATGCAGTACTGCGTGATCAGCTGCAGCTCGTCCTCACTGCACAGACATGGGACGCCGGACGGGTTACTGTACGCTCGGCAGTGCTTCGCTTCCGTGGAGCAAGTAACGGCCACGCTGCGGAACGAAATCTGTGACAAAGGCCTATGGCGTGTAACTGCCCAGAGTTGCAATATGTCCACGGTTCTAAGTGGCTGAAAGCAAACAGTTTCTTCTGAAAATCGCTCTGTAGGTCAAACAAGCAGGAAAATGACGAAAAAATAGTAATTCGCTGCAGAGCTGAATATGTTCCGTTTCATTTTCAATTTTTGTCGTTCGGAGCATTTCGAAATATAAATTTTTCATAAACAAAATGTCATTTAACACTAAAACATTCCACAAATGCCGAAGGCCTTTGAGAAAAGAGCGCATGAAAGCGAGCGTGCACAAATACATAAAATCCCCATACTGCAAAGTCAGCCAAATTGACCTTTCAATTACATGAAGATGGGCTCCGAGAACGAACGACACAAGTACAGCTGATGTGGCAAGGATGACACTACTGACACTCATACACAGTGACACCCTGTAAAAAAACAATCAGGCGGCATCTTTTTTCAGAAGTGCCATGATACACTAGTCTATCAAACGTGTTAAACCCCATGCAGTTGAGTCCTCAAACAGCACAACCCCAATCATGTTTCAGACTGCCCGGACCGCCGCACCGCCCGACCCAGCACGAAACGTACCTCTCCGGACTGGAGAAGCTGTGAGCGTCCACTTCGGAGGTTGCGTGTCCGTTCGTGCGCGCCCTGGTCCAGTGAGCAGGTGCGCAGATGATCGGCGGAGGCGGCCGAAGTGACGCCCTGAGACGACACACCGTGTGACGTCACGGCATTCAGCAAACAACAGCGCTCATAACTACCAGGCCATGATGTGTTTGGAAATGAACGACCGCAAAAACATGACATGAAGACGCGTTGTTTAAAATAACTTACTTAAAATGACTTGACCGCTTAGGACGGAATTCAACGGACGACAGCGCTCGTAACTACGAGGTCGTAATGTGTTTGGAAGCGAACGGCCGGGCAAAACAGGACATGCATACGTATTGTTCGACATGATGCTTCGAAAAGTCGGGTATATCAAACGATTCTGGCAGAAACGAACTGAGTTTCGTTGAAAGGGAAAGGGTGACAGAGGAACGTCATGATGTGTTTGGAAATGAACAACCAGCAAAACATGGCACGAAGGCGTGTTGTTTAACATGACGCTTAGAGAAGTCGTTGGCCATATCGAACTATTCTAGCAGAGACGAACTGATTATAGTTGAAAGGGAAACTGTATAAGGGAAATATTAAAACAGCAGACCGAGCTCCAGCAGCCCTGAATGATGTGGCGCAGGTCCATGAGGCCGAAACCAAGGTATAGCTCCTGTGCTTCGTAACGGCAGCACTGATGCCGGCACCGCTAAAACATCGATGTTTAGGGACAACGAACCGGACGATTTATTGGCCAATACCTCAGCCATGGGCTGGACAGGGAGGTAGCCCAGCTTGGTATGCTTGCGGAAGTAGTGCTTCGACTTGAACCGGTTTCGTATCGACCTGGTGAAGTCCTTGATGTCATCGCTTGACGAACTCTGGAACACAGCCATAACGGTAACAAGGCCCAACGCGAATCCCGAAAAGACAGCAATAGCAAAAACAAAGTTTTTGTTTGCGAAACAGCGTGGTGCAAGACCAATCACGCAGCATCAATGGCACATGACATTCCCGAATAGAAAATGACTTATGAGCCAACCACCACTCAGCTTGATGATCAGCTTGAGAAATGCTTGTGCAACAATCATGTGCTCAGCGTCGCCCTTTACAACTCATCCCGCATTGCCGTTCAGCTTTGACGAACATGGTTCAGAGGGGTGGGGAAGTAAAACAGTTGTATAAAATGAGTTTATTCAAATTGGCGGCACGCAACTCGGAGCGTGTGCTGAGGCTCTTTCGCCGAGGGAGGTAGTGATCTGGTCCAATGCATGCATCGCAGGCTATTTAAGACTATATTTCTTCCCTCCAGAGCATCTCAGCTGATGTTCGCTTACCTCTGTGCAATATTCGTGCATGGGATGACTGAGTTTGTGACTTTTGGCGACACGTCCGGTGAAGAAGCATTGCTGACACATATCGAAGTTGAAACATTTCAGACACCGGTATCTGTAACGCAGGTACAACTGGATCAACTCAAGAGGATTGGAAACTGCGTGATGCGCGTGACTGGTTTCATAAAACCATAATTACGAGCAAGACAGTCCTAGTTACAAGGAAGCAATGCAGCCCTCACACGGCGTTTAACAACTTTTAAGCTGTAAAGCTGACATATGCCACTTAATAATACGCTCCCTAACATCCTCAACACCGCATCACATTTTGATACCTAGCACATTAAAACCCGATATAATGCGAACACATATTCGATGCAAGATATGGAATTGAAAAACACGTAAAAGCACCAAAAGAAATGAGCAGATTGGTCACCAAACTTTTGGTTTCGGTTCGATACCCAACCAAGCTCACGGAAATTTTATAGAATGCTTACTTTCAGAACGCGGACCATTTCCACTACAAAGAAGCATGTGACAACGCAATTTACCTTACTTTTTTACGTGTATTTCTGTAACGCCCTTTGCAAGTCGGGCACTGGGAAAAAATCGCCAACACTCAAGTAATGTAAACCTCCGTGTCGCACTACGCATGCTTTCAGACATTCACGCTGCCTCTGCCGGCCCGAACCTGAAACCGACGATGGGGTACTCCTTGCAGCCATTGCAGCGGGCATGATGTCGGGACTTCTCGGCGCCCGCCACCCGGTGCAGCACCGGCAGCCACACCAGGCTCTGCGGCTCGGCGCGCAGCCAGTCCAGGACCTCAGCTTCGCACAAGGTCGTCTCCTGCTCCCCCTCCTTTTCGTCCTCTTCGTCACCGTCGGCCGCGGCGGCTGCGGCGGCGGCGCGGAAGCAGCTGGTGACAGACGGTTGCACGGCCGCGGGGCCGAAGGCGACCTCCTCGCCCATCTGACCAGGTAGCTGTAGCAGTTGGCTCAGTAGCCGACCCAGCTGCTTCTCGTTCAGCCGCTGTCGGTTGTCGGCGCCCAACTGGAACATGTCTGGGAGGAGGGAGCAACAGGTGAAAGTCTGTCGCTGGCGGAGCCGGACCAGCGATGGCTTTGTGCACAGGGCCCCTTCTAACGAGTGATAGTGGTGAAACTGGACAGGCATGAAAATGCGTTTATTCTATTGTATTGCAGTATACTGTTTTGATCTTTTGGTACACAGTCACACACCGAGACATCATCCGCATCGCTTGATCCGATCCTTTCCCTTTGTGCGCAGCCAGGCGTATCCCAGGACACCTCCGCACGGTCTTCCGTGGGCTTTCCGGTTAATTCCTCTGATCGTTTACTGACCCGAGAAGTCCTCGACCCCTTGCAGCTGCTATTGATCAACTTTTCAAGGTCATTCACTGCAGTTCACAGTCATGCCCTTTGTAAGACTGTGCATGCTGTCGCCTGTAAGCTAGGTGCACGCAAACATGTGCAGATTATTTCACGCCGCCTAATTCGAAGTTACCCAAAGATGCACACCGTCATCAAAGCACCACAAAAACTCCTTCTCCAAGGCCATGTTGTTGTTCAAGGTCCAGAAAGATATGGCTATTAACTTATTCGTGTCTGAAGTACGTCAGCACGCATCGTCTCGTCAGCGGACAGCAATTAGCTGTCAACTAGCTTCACGTCTTGAATGCGAGTCTCTATCACGAACGGCACGTTTTTGATACATAATACAGGCATCTAAGTATTACTACCAATTATGACCAGCATGATGTTAAGAATCAAATGAGCATGAAAAGCGCCGCCACCGAGAATGCAAATGCACCTGAAAAACATGCCATCACGGAAAAATATGGAAGAGCACCACGACAAAGGGCCAAAACATGTGCACATAAATATCGACATCTTTACACACTCCTTAACAAGCCACCTTGCGGCGAAATACAGTCCTATAAGTGGGTCAGCCCGTCCGCTGCAGTGGCAATGCTGCACTTACAACGCCAGTTTGGCATCGACTCTGATATTATAAAAACGTTCCATGACGTAATAACACAAGGCCATATTGGAGAGCATACTTACAAAACAGTACCGCTTTGTTGCCACAGCAATCTTTTGCACTTTTACCACACCAATAATTATACGTGAGCCCTTTCCATCTCATTTGATGCCTGCCTAAATATCTTCAAATGTGGGACATTCCTTTAAGCCCTACACCGATATCCACATGTAGACAGCAGAATACGCACGGGGTGTACCGCTGAGCCTGCTCGATGGATGGTGTTCATTCCCTCTGGTGACCCAACCTGATCTCCCTGGGACCAGACATTCCGCTCGGAAGCGGTACGCCTAGCTGGTCCGTCGACTGCAATACTACTTACGGCCGACGCCGACATCTGACCCGGCTCAACCGTGCACATCGACCATGAATAATGAGCACTTAGCTCTGTATGTGCGGTGCACGATGCGAGCGTCCGCAGCGTTTGACCTCACTTCCATTTCGCGTCGGACTCGCACTCACAGCGGTATTTCTCCTCCAGATGTGCCTTGCAGAGAGTGATGATGGCCAGTTTAAAGGAGCTGACAGGAATGCGACCAGTCCGACGGCTGCAACGAAGGTGTGATGTCATACTGGATGCCAGAAAACCGCATGACATCATAGCGAGGCTGAAATACAGCGGACTAAGGAGTTAACGTGCCAAGTGCCTTGATAGTGCACAATATTCCGTGGTTCTTTTTGACATTTGCACGCCAGATGCAAAGTCAATTGCATACCCACGATTCCAGCTCGCATGATACAACTCACTTCCGAACAGCACACTACATCAGGCATCATCATTTGAGCGAAGGGGCAGCAAACCAAGCGCGATTCGCTCACCCCACTGCGTATCCTCGCACGTCGTAGTCACTGCACGGCAGCCGAGGCAGTTCCGATTCTCACTTGTAAACGCAAGCAGCCAGCTGAGGAGGTCTATCTCAGCGCAGGTCCGCCGTCACGCACTTTGTAAACGCTGAGCAGCCAGTTGAGAGGAGGTCATCCTCAGCGCCAGGCCGCCGTACTCACTTGTAACGCTGAGCAGCCAGTTGAGACAGAGGTCCATCCTCAGCGCCAGGTCCGCCGTCACTCACTTGTCGTAAACGCTGAGCAGCCAGTTGAGACAGAGGTCCATCCTCAGCGCCAGGCCGCCGTACTCACTTGTCGTAACGCTGAGCAGCCAGTTGAGACAGAGGTCCATCTCAGCGCCAGGTCCGCCGTCACTCACTTGTCGTAAACGCTGAGCAGCCAGTTGAGACAGAGGTCCATCCTCAGCGCCAGGCCGCTGTCACTCACTTGTCGTAGACTGAGCAGCCAGTTGAGACAGAGGTCCACCCTCAGCGCCAGGGCCGCCGCCACTCACTTGTCGTAAACGCTGAGCAGCCAGTTGAGACAGAGGTCCATCCTCAGCGCCAGGTCCGTCGTCACCGGAGGGTCCATACCCCCGTACAGCGCCACCAGCACGGCCACCACGTCGGGCACGGCCACGAGACCGGTCGCTGGAAGGCGCCACGCCTGCGCCTCAAACGCCTGCGCAGCCTCGGCCAGCGGCAGGCGGTGCAGCAGCAGGGCGCGTTGCAGGCGCCGCAGCTTCAGCGCGGTCCTGGCGGCACGGGGTGAGATGAGATGCATGACGTGCTGAGGAAGACGGAGGTAAGGCGAAAGTCTGGCGTGCTAATGGAGACGGGGTAAGGTGAGACGATTAACGTGCTGACGAAGATGGGGGAAATGCGAGAGCCTCGCGTGCTGAGTGAGACGGGGGTAAGGTGAGAGTTTGGCGTGCTGAGGGAGATAGAGGCAAGCTGAGATAACTGACGTGAAGGAGACGGAGTAAGGGGAGAGTCTGACGTGCTAATGGAGACGGGAGTTAGGTGAGACGATTAACGTGCTGGCGAAGCCGGGGGCAATGCGAGAGTCTCGCGTGCCGAGGGAGACGGGGGTAAGGTGAGAGCCTGACGTGGCGAAGGAGACGAAGTAAGGTGAGAACCTGACGTGCAGAGGGGGACGGGGGTAAGGTAAGATGTTTGACGTGCCGAGGGGGACGAGGATAAGATGAGAGTTTGGTGTACTGAGGGAGACGGGAGTGAGCTGAGATAACTGGCGTGAGAGAGAGGAGGATAAGGCGAGAGTCGGACGTCCTACGGAGAAGGGATGGGGTGAGGCCGATGATGCCCTGCCGCCGCGAGGGGACGAAGCTGGATTAGACAGCCGCGGTTCTGCCATGATGAGGAGGACAGAGGCGGTGAGACAGCTGAAGCCCTATCATTCTGACGAATAGGGACGTAATTTCGCAGGTAATCTGAGGTACTGCCGTCCCCCAACTCACGATGGGGTCGGGGGTCAGTCCCCAAGTCACGACTTGGTCAGCATCGATTGAGGGGGTTGAATGGTGAAAAATAACGTAACCCACTCTCAAAATACGCCGAATATAGGATTGCTGATCGGATTTCGCTGGAGACCACGTTGGTACGTGGCCGGAGCCCTCACCCCCCTAACTGAGAAGAAAACGTGACTCCTGCTGACGGAAAGAGGTTGAGGCCCTGGCCAGTGTAAGGTCCGGAGGGCACAGCGGAGGGTCTCCTTGTCACAGCCAGTCGTTCAGCAATCCATGTATCCGAACAAAGGGGAAGAAGAAGCTACAAGGAAGAAGCGGACGGCTTACCGACCATGACTGGCAGCCCACCGTTCACAGCAGCCCGGCCGGCTCACCTGTACGCCGAGAACCGGACGGCGTCGAGCTGCGGCAGGCCGCGCATGAGCTGGTCGAGCCGAGCGGGTGGTCCCACTGGGTGCGTCGCTCGCCGTGGTGCAGGTAGTACGGCACGCCGTGCTCGGTCTGGGAACGCTCCCAGGGCGGCTCCACCGAGCGGCCCAGGTCGGGCGGCGCCGGTGGCCCGCCGTAGGCCGCCGAGACGGTCGACGCCACCGAGTGTAGCCGGCCGTTGAGGACGGCCAGCCGAGCAGCGTGCTCCGGGGAGAGCGGCACGCTGCGCCGCACAGGCACCGGGTCAGACCGGGTCAGACGGGGTCAAAGGGGTCAGACGATCACCGGCCGTTGGGGACGGCCAGCCGAGCGGCGTGCTCCGGGGAGAGTGGCACGCTGCGCCGCACAGGCACCGGGTCAGACGGGCGAAATGGGGTCAGAGCCCCACCGGCCGTTGGGGACGGCCAGCCGAGCGGCGTGCTCCGGGGAGAGCGGCACACTGTGCCGCACAGGCACCGGGTCAGACGGAGTCAGACGGGGTCAGGCAGGGTCAGACGATCACCGGCCGTTGAGGGCAGCCAGCCAGGCGTGCTCCGGGGGGGAGCAGCACGCTGCGCCGGGTAAGACGGGGTCATACGAGGTCATACGGGGTCGGCTAGACAGGATCAGACGGGGTCAGGGGTCGGGGTCGGTTAGGCAGGATCAGAGGGGTCAGGGGTCGGGGTCGGCTAGACAGGATCAGACGGGGTCAGAGGACCGCCTGTCGCAGCTCAACGACGGCGGGAACAACTGAGACAGATGTCAGACGTCACAGCGCAGCGCTGGGAGTCGCTGGGTTGAACAGTGCGCGATTAAGCCAAGGGGCAATTCAAAGCCAGACGTTGATGCATAGTCTCTACGTTGACTTCGCAACTAAAATAGGCATCGATGTAAAGCCAGACGTGGTTCAGCTAACGCGAGTTGAATGACTTCGACCGGGTTGTAGTCAACTTGACGTGAATCATTTCTAGTGCTTATCGGATTCTTCACCAAAGAGCGAATCTTTTCTCGTCGATCATCGACATCAATTACGCCCTAACAGCCCGTCGAACCTGCGCGCATCATAGCAATCACGCCATCATATACCGAGGCAGATCGCATTTACCATAGCCGATAAGCCACAAGCGTACAATCCGAGTCCGGCGAGCAGATCAGCAGCGTTGACTGCCGCACTCACTTGTTCTCTGCCAGCCGGCTGGCCTGGGCATTGACGTCATCCAGGCTTCGTTGCACCTCCAGCAGGCGGTCCTCTGCGACGTCACCGTTGGTGACCACGTCAGGCTGGGTCTGTTCGATGTCGTTCAGCCGCTGCTCGACCTCGTTCATGCACCGCTCCAGCACGTGCCTCTTCGTGAAACAGGCGGGGGAGTAGAGTTTGAATAGCGATTGAAACGCCCAAGCCTTCTCGACGTAACCACACGAACGGTTGCAAGTTAATGGCAGTTTTCTTGCCCAAACGGCAGCAACAGAATCAGCTTCTTTCTATTGAGAGGATGGACATTGGGATGCCCTTCCAAGAGATAGAGAGATGCGCTGATGCTCACAGGATAACCGACGCACTGAGAAGGAAAGGCGAGAAATGCCATGTGACAGAGTTAAGTAGGCAATGATACACTTCAGGGCAAAATGCCAAAGCAGACTATTAAACGTAGGAGTTAGCGTGACCACTGCCATAGTTCCCACTCAGTACTCCTTCAAGTCAAAAGGTGCTCGTGGCGTTTTTTCTATATCGAGCAGGGTTGACAAAATGCCCCCATTTTATTTTCTGTAACAATAAGGCATCTGTAGCTATCAATCAACCGTTTCGCTCAAAGACCATACAAACTCTGGACTTACGGAGTGGCTTACGGTGGCTTACGGAGTGAATCTAGTTTTATAACTATTGTGTGATTTTAGGAAAAATGTGCAGCGCCGGTAGCTGGGCACACAATTTACGACATGCGATGGGAAATTTGACAAATCTTTAACACGCTTAACACACACTTAATCGTCATTCTCCTTATCATGGCGCCAACCATCCAGCGATAATCGAGCACGAGCACGCACACAATATTTCGCCAGGAGACGACATCGTTTTGACCAGGACAGAACGGTGCCTGAAGTCTCCGTAAAGTGTGTGTCCGCCGGTCTCCCTCTACATAGCCGCTGGCTATAAACACGTTGGCTGTTGGCCCTGCCTCGTTTGCCAGCAAAGCCAAGTCACAAATCTCACAGCGGACAGCGGAAGACGATTGGCCTGATCGGCGGCGTCGTCACCGGAACCGCAAACACCACCCACATCGCTCTCCAAACATTTGTGCACGCTGCGCTGCTATCTACGCCCAGGGTTCTGAGCTTTGGCAGATATATAGTGACGTAAACAAGGTGGCTGTGGTGTTTGCGGGTGTTGAACGGCCTGGTCTCTGGAGCATCGTTTTCTAGCACACGGAACCATGAGTCACTATGAAAATGATGTGGCCGTCGGCCACACCCGTCCCACTGACATGCAGTCGTTGAAAACTTGAACATTCAGTTAGGCACGAATGCCGGGGGCCAGTCGAGATCAAATTTCGGCGCACAAACAGCACCAAAAGCCGAACAGCAAGCTTGCGTGCATGACTTAACATCCCATTTTCCCGCACGCCTCCACGAGCGTGCTGTGGCATGCCACAGCGTGCCACACGCCACATGCCACACGCCTTCACGGCGAGTGGCAAGCTCGCCAGCTGCTGAGTTTGTAATTCAAATCGACATGCATTAGTGGACCACGACAGCGAGCAAAACATGGCGGCGAAGTTCTCTCGATGAGGGACCGCCATTGGTGGATAACCCGGTATGCCGGTGCCGCAGTGACGACACCACCTTCGGCGGAAACTGCGCAGTTTCACATGCCAGGGAAAAGGCTGGAGGAAAAGGCTTCCATGGAAAGGTCGCTGTGCTGGAAATGCCTTTACGGCATTCTCCATCCCTGGTGATCACGTTTCCATAAGCTTCCTTGCGCGGAGGACCAACTTACTTCACGCAAAATTTTATCACGTGAGCCATTTCCTGCATGCAAACATGCGTCAAAACCACACAAAGCCAGGATTGGGCCTGGACTCACTGTTGGACCAGGACTCATATACATGACTCATTCCACAGGTGGACGGTGCTCAAATGCAGACTCATCAGTTCAAGACCAATGATCTTGAAATCACATTCCGCCGCAAAATCATAGTTCTCCATCCATAAGAGCATAGGGCAGAGAGCGCTGGATGCAATGCGATGCACATGAATAGAAAGCAGCGTGCCGAGTAGATGAGAAAGCAGGGTGCCGAATACGTAAGAAAGCGGCGTGCCGAGTAAATAAGAAAGCAGCGTGCCGAATAAATAAGAAAGTAGGCACGATGCGAAGACAAAGCACCAAGGAGTGCCAATGAAAACCACGCGCTGACAAACTTCCCGTCGTCGCTCTGCCTTTGATACAATCTGCGCCTTACCCCCGGGGCCGCACTCAAGCCACCAGGAAGACAAAAGAAACCTCTCATTAAAAATCCGATCCTCTGCGATGAATGGGAGACCACCATCCCGCGCGAGCCGCGCGTCTCCAACGCCAGTGTTTAGGAACCGCCGGGTTTCCGTCCGTGGTCGTCCATTCACGGCGTGTTTTTTCAACCGAGTCATCAAGTCAACGGCATGTTTTTGGAGGCGGCCGGCGACATCTGTTTGCTTTTGGTCGGCGAGGCGGCGCCATATATCAGGGGCCGTCTCATCGCCGCGGCTCCGGTGCACCACATGGCGCCGGAGAGCGCCGCGCACCGTCGCTTCACGGCGCCGGCGTCTCTCGTGGGATGGGGCCGCACGCGCCACCGTCACCACCGTCCGCGCCGATAGCAACGCAGGCAACCCGCGCACACCGGCAGCAGTCCGAGGTGGCGGAGCCCAACAGACCTCCGACGGCGACAAGACTGGAGCGATCCTTGCATGCGTTGAGGGTGAGGGTCAGGGTGGGTGGGGGGTGGGGTCGAGGGAGGGGAAAGAGGGGCACGGCCTTGTTGCCCCGAGAGTGGGGTGTCAATATGTCCGGTTCGACCAGCGGTCCAGCTCGGCATAAACCAAACAAATTGGGCGGGTCAGGCCGCCGGCTCCGAGGCCGGCACCGAGTGATGGACAGCAGCCAGATCCGTCTGCAGCTGGTCTGCGACGGCGAGGGGGGGGGGGCCCCAGACAGCTCGGACAGCGCGGGGGACCCGGGCAGAGGCGGCCGGACAGCGCGGGGGACCCGGCCAGAGGCGGCCCGGACGGCGCGAGGCGCGCGTGGGACCCGGTCAGAGGTGGGCCGGACAGCGCGGGGGACCCGGCCAGAGGCGGCGGACGCTGGTGCTTTGTATGGATGTTGGAGACAATTTTTGGTTGGACAAAACGGCATGCTCATCGCATTTACATGAAGCAAAAATGCGCTTTCGCTGCGCTGTCAACAGGTACGGCGAGGTTCTTTCCCTCGCGGACACCAGAACTGACGTCTCATAACAATGACCGATACGTAACCTTTCTTCATATATATGTGCTCCCACAACCGGTGGCCTGTGGAGGGGTCCCGCAGCCTGAGTCGTGTCACCGAATTTAACATCACCCCCGTGCGTGTGGATGTCAAACATTAAACACGCGATGAACAGACTGATTGGGCGGACAGACGGCTGCCTCCTCTGGATCTCGCACGCAGGAGCAACGGGCATATTGCAGCACACATCATTCATCACTGAGTCGGTGACAGGTCTCACCGTCCGGCGGCCGGCCGTCCGAGCGGCTCGCCCCACGCACCTCCGTCAGCCAGATGGCGTCAACGTCCCTACGGGGGCGGGGGACACGGCACCGGCAGCCGCACGCCAGGGCGGCGGCGGCGGTCGGCCGGGGGGTCCCGAGAGCCGACGTCGCGGCAGCAGCAGCGGCGAGCGCGCCGCCCGCCGCTCGCAGCACAGCTCGGCGTAGCCGGAGACGGCGTCCGGCGGCGGCGGCGGCGGCGGGGTCAGCCGCGGCGGCTCAGAGACCGGGCGCAGCGCCGCCGGCGGCGTCCAGGTGATCGGGCGGACCGGCCGCGCTGCCATGGCAACGCCGGCTCTGTCACGTGACCACGCTCACACCCGCACCACGCCACAACGTCGCGAGGCCACGAGCTCCCGCGGCGACGCGTGGCACCGTCGCCGGCGGCGTACTCGGAGTCGCAACCGCGCGCGCGCGGGTCAAAGGTGACGCTCGCCGCCTGCCCGGGGCGGTGCGCGCGCCGGCCGCGCGTCGTTCGGCGACTGAGGCCCGCCGGCGCGAGGCGTCGGCCCGGTGGAGGACCGCATAGCCAGCTGTGCTGCCGCTGCAGTACGGCCGCGCTTTTTCAAGGCCCCGCAGATGCGAACAGATAACAGCAGTGCGATTTTCCAGGCCAGATGACAGCAACAGCAATGGCGGTCGCAGGCCGTACTGCTCAGATGCAGCAAGCTGTTAGCCCAGCTTCCTGCTTTGTTATTACATGTCAGTACAAATTCTCAGACATGGCGACTCCAAGACGTCGTCCCACAGTGCAACATGGAGGCCAACGCAAACAAGCCGTGGCCATCTCCCAGCCCCGTCCGCAGGGCCACCACCGCCACTGAAATCAAACGCCAAGTTTCTGGCCACCGAATTCTGCACCAAACATTGGCGCACACATGGCTCACCGCCCCAGCCCTCGTTTCCGGAACATGACCGCTGGCTGGTGGTGATGCCCTTGCGGCCCAGTGCAGGTCTCCTTGCGTGAGTGCTTGGTTGCCAGCTGAGCACCGCCTGCGCTGCGTTCGCCAGATCCCGAGCACCGTCTTCAGCTTCGTTCTCCGCCCCAGTGGACACTCCCATCGCCAGGAGTTCGCTGCGTTCACCAGATCCTGAGCACCGTCTTCAGCTCCGTTCTCCGCCCCAGTGGACGCTCCCATCGTCAGGATTTCGCGTTCCCCGGATCCTGAGCACCGTCTTCAGCTCCGTTCTCCGCCCCAGTGGACACTCCCATCGTCAGGAGTTCGCGTTCACCAGATCCTGAGCACCGTCTTCAGCTCCGTTCTCCGCCCCAGTGGACACTCCCATCGTCAGGAGTTCGCGTTCACCAGATCCTGAGCACCGTCTTCAGCTCCGTTCTCCGCCCCAGTGGACACTCCCATCGTCAGGATTTCGCGTTCCCCGGATCCTGAGCACCGTCTTCAGCTCCGTTCTCCGGCCCAGTGGACACTCCCATCGTCAGGAGTTCGCGTTCACCAGATCCTGAGCACCGTCTTCAGCTCCGACACTCCCATCGTCAGGAGTTCGCGTTCACCAGATCCTGAGCGCCGTCTTCAGCTCCGTTCTCCGCCCCAGGGGACACTCCCATCGTCAGGAGTTCGCGTTCACCAGATCCTGAGCACCGTCTTCAGCTCCGTTCTCCGCCCCAGGGGACACTCCCATCGTCAGGAGTGTATTTTCCTGTTCAGTTGTGGCAGGGGTGTGTTTTCACAAACAAGATTAGGGATAAGCGGGAGAAATAGCAACACCTGCCCTCAAAATGCAAAAAAGACGTTACAGGACTGGACTTCAGCATCCAAATTTTGGAAATAAAGTGAGCCATGTCTGTGGATAAATACGGTTTTGACTACTCTGAGGTAGGCTAAGGCATTTTGTCTTGCTCAGTAGCTCCAACTAAATTTGCAAAACTACGCCTTTGGCCGCAGCGGTTCGTGGGTTGTTGAGCCAGACCAGGACATAGCAGCGGCGCAAGAAATATCATTAGAAAATAAACCGATGATGAGTCCACAATGCCACTTGTGGCGCAATTTTTTCGTTTCTTTTGCAGCAGTGTTACCCATGTGTGATTCGAAGTCGCCTCGACCTACTTGCTCCATGTTCAGTAGGATACATTCAAAAACACACACACACACACACACACACACACATATATATATATATATTAATAATATATATATATATATATTTAAGCTAACACGCACCAGTTTTCGGAAACATGCTTACTGGCACAGTTCTGCTTCTATGCGGACCATATGCCGCTGGGCAAGCGGCAGACAGTGGCAAACGAACGCCTCGAACAAACCAACAAGGGACAAATCGTGATAAGAAGGGGCAAACAAACGCCTAGAACAAACCCCAAAAACGGGTGCCAACGCATGCGCGCACGGCTGACGACGAGCGCTTATGAGGGCAGATGATTCGGAGGAGCGGTGGAGTAGCCTACAAAACATTAGCAACCTCGTCAGCGCCGGCACAGTCACAATCTGCCGGGCCGTGAAGCTACTCGGGTACTCGCATGTGTGCTGTGAATGGGTGCTGCACTGCTTCCGACAAGAGCAGAAGAATGCACGCGCAGAGGCTGCGCAGGAGTGCTTGAGCAGTACGAAGCTGGCTACAAACAGGTTCCGGACTTAACAGTCACTTCTGATGAGACGCGGGCGCATTTCTGCGGCCCGCTGGCCGAAAACAAGAGCAAGGAGTAAAATAAATCCGACGAGAGGACCACACCCCAGCCCAAGCTCAGACACATGGGCGGGGGTTGTAGCGATTGGGGGGTTTGGTCGCGCCCTGCTACAATCATATTGCGCTGACGCGCGGGTGGGATGGCCATGTGTACGGTGTTCTGCGACACAGACAGCACAATCAGCACCGACGTCCTTCCCGGGATAAGACGATTAACTCCACATAGTACTCCTCGCACCGAAGAAGATTATTGGAGCCATGCCAAAAAAACACTATCCGAGAGAGGCCACAGATTTCAGCACCATCACGACAACGCACGACCTCACGTCGCCGTCGTGTGAGACGGCGACGCTTTTGAGAGGATGTGAAATCCCCACTACCCAACACCCGCTCTATTCGCCTGACCTGGCCCCGGCGACTTTTCCATTCTCCCAAAACTCAAGCGAGCAAAAGTGAAAAATAGTCTATCAGTGCCGGGGAGCTGGAACGGTATTGTGGCGCGTTTTCGGAGGCACCAGAAAAGGAGAGGCTGGTGCGGCCCGCAGGATGAGAGTGAAACGGCTTCGTAAGTGTGCACGGCTTGGATGCTAAGATATACTTATCTGTTGCATGTTGGCCTGGACTTTTAAAACAACTTCCACAAATTCTGAAGCGGCCCCTACAACTCGAGTACCGTCAGTGGCAAAACCCAAAAATCGCATATGTTCCAATCAGCGTGGTGAGAGGAAGGTTTGCGTGACATTTTGGTCGAGATCGGACCACTTTGCGTGATGCAGCGCGGGCAAATCTGCCCCATAGGCTGAGCAAAGGCCGGCGGGATTTGCTGCGAGCGACATAGCGACATCACATCAGTATCGAGCTTCTCCAGCCCTTTCACGGGTCTTGGCACGCTCTTGGCTCACTGTGTTCATGGACCGTGGTTGCCGTCCAATTTAAATTATAGCACAATTGTACCGCTTGTCAAAAACGTGTGTTTATTACAGGAGCGTTTGTTTTGAAAAATCGGCTGCGGGGAAATGAACCGATAAGGTTAATCTAACCTATCCCAGAACCTGATTTGTTCCCGGATTTCGGCCACTTTGGTTTACGTCTCCGATAACGGAATAGAATAACTCTTAAATGATCACGGATGATGACTTTGATATGGCTGCGAAGGTGTGACTACATTTCAGAGCGATGTGAAGGTATAATTTTTAAATGTTTTAAATGGAGTATGATTTACAGAAAAAAAACATCTGAGAAACTCGAGCCATTGTGATCAACGAACATAGGTGTCGTCCATCGTTGATCGAAGGTGGCTCCAGGCGCAAAAGACAGTACGGTGGGAAATGGCGTGGTCCGGCACGTACGGACAAGAGCATATAGGACATTTTGAGTGCACTGCCACGATGTAACTAAATATCATGTGTCAAAGCATTATATGTTTGAGCATTACATATCTAAACATAAAACTTATTTTACACGACCTTCTCACGAAACATGTCAATAATTATGAAGACAATTTGGGTTGATACTGGCGACCGGATGCGTCTCCGCAGCGGCCGTCTTAAAAAAATGTCGCGACCAACGCTTTGACATGTGCCGGAAGTTGATATAAGCAAGAAGGGTTGTGAATCTTTATGCTTCGGGGATGATGAGTTGGGAGTTTGCATGCTGAAATTAATAAATCTTGCGCGTACCAGAGGGTTGGATAAAGCCATGTCATCAAAGAGGCATTGGTCATACAGAGGAAACTGTAGGTTTCGAAGCTGTGCACATGGCCAGATATATTAGCAAAAGGTGATCAACACCATCCCAACATTTCTTTTGCTCTGGAACAGAACCGCACAAAATGTTACATTCCAATCCTTGACACCCTTTTTGTGGTACAAACTGGCGGAAGATACAGCACCGAACTGTACTTTAAATCGTCCTGCCCAGCAGAGCAGTTCAATCTGTTCTGATAGATCGGCTGGTTAGAACGCCTGCATTCTGATTCACAGACCTGCGGCGGGGTGGGTTCGAGTCGCCTGAGTCGTGCGCTTTTCCCCTTTACTGGCACAGCCTACGGCCGGTGGCAGCGCCCGCGCCAGGAAAGCAAACAGACTGTGTCTGTGTGAAGCTACCGTTTTCACAAAGTGCCCCAGTAAAAGTTAACTCACGTTTCACTCAGCGGTGACGAAAGTATTTCTCGCACACCAAGACAGCGGTAGTATTCAATAACCACTCAATGGTAACGCGTGATAAAAAGCAATGGTAGTCAAACGTGATCTGCATTCGTCAAATCATGACTCCACAGAAGATGTCCCTTGAGGACGAGATCGAGGATCCTGTCAACACCACCCAGAGAGCAACATCGCTACCGCTCTGATACCCTCCTAGGCGGCCCTGGGGCCACTTCACAGGCTCTAGTGTGACGAGGAGTAGCTTCAGCAACATTTTGCACGGCATGGACTTTCCTGGATTAGTTCATCACTTCGTTTCGTTCACTGAATCGTTTCGCTGAAATGCACAACATCCAAAAACTGCCGTGCTGTGGCTCTCACCCTTAAAACCTTTCATGATCAGCAACTCAAACGTTCAACTTATTTTGCTCGGCACACATCGGACAGAACTCAGCGTGGATCACTGGGCTCATCCCTTATAGTACGGACTTGGATCATGCAGAGCTGCGCTCGGGCCGTGCGTGTGGTATGCCCTGACGCTGCCCTGCGTGCGACATGACCTAACTCAGCAACCCCGGACTGGCAACGTCATTACCGGAGAGCCCTGCACCTGCTGCTCAGTGCAGTGAGTAGCAGCCACGGCGGCGGCGGATGCCATTGCTGCAGCGTCCAATGTGTCCAGATTGTGTGTCAATACGCCCAGTTACGAAAGACCATCTGAGCCTGCGCGGTATGACCTTGCCCTATACAGCTCCGCTTCGCTCGGGAACTACACACCGGGTAAAATGCGCATTAGTTCGTAATCGCAGCTCAATAAATAGCTATACCGGATATGCGCGAGGAAGACCTCCAGATCCTATTTGTTTCGACTCGTAAGTTTTCATAGTAAAATGCCGACATTCCATAATAAGTGAATGCCAGGTTATCAAGCAGCGATAGGTATGGAGAAAATGGACGTTTCATGGTGACGCTGATGGTTACAAGCGCTACCATGAAACGTCACGTTTTCACAATGTATACAATGTATGATCTGATAAGTTGTTTAACCAATATCTTCTGGTACGTATACTGAACGCCGACCTTTGCAAAGAATTACTACTACGCCAACAGCTGGTAAAAGGACAGTCACTCATTTCAGCCCTTTCGCTCTTTTCGACAGCTGACCACCAGAGATAATCTGCTAGATGGTCCAGCGGCACATGTGACGGTTAGGATCACTAACACTGCAACCTCTCACGTCCAATCCCACGACAGAACCGGTGAAATGTTCGAGCAGTGCGCGGGATTCGAACCAACGTCCCAGTGCTGGACCCGGTATCGCACCATTCACGCCCGCTCCTCGTCTCCCCGTCAGCGCTGGCGAATGGTTTAGTTCCGCAGCTCACCGCCAGGGCCGAGTCAGCGCGTCGTCGGAAGAGTTCGGCGCGTCGGCCGAGCTCTCGCCACTTGTCCTGTAGCTTGGCCGCCTCCCGACCGATAGCCCTCGCCTGCTCCAGACTCTGGTCCAGCTCGGAGCGACGCTCCCGGCCGTAGCCATCGCGCTCGCCTCGACCTGTGGACACGGGTCAGCTCAGCGCGCGCCAATCGCCCACCACAGCCTGTGGACACGGGGCGGCTCGGGGCAAGCCAATCGCTCATCGCGGCCTGTGGATACGGGTCGGCTCAGGACACGCCAATCGCCCACCACAGCCTGTGGACACGGGTCAGCTCAGGGTACGCCAATCGCCCATCACGGCTTGTGGACACGGGTCAGCTCAGCGCGCGCCAATCGCCCATCACGGCCTGTGGACACGAGTTAGCTCAGCGCGCGCCAATCGCCCATCACGGCCTGTGGTCACAGGTCAGCTCAGCGCGCGCCAATCGCCCGACGCGCCAGACCGGCGCCGCAGCGGCGAGAGAGGGACATGATAGGCTAGTCGCCTGTCGGAAGAACACGCTCACTTGGGAGCGCGTGACACGTGACACGTGACGTGACGAGACGCGGGATGTGACGCGACATGTGATGTGACACGTGACACGTGACGCAGCACGTGTGCGATACGTGACACGTGACGTGTCGCACGTGACACGTGACACCCGCCACGTCCATGGATAAGGCATAGACGTGGGAGTTACGGGCACGCTGGCTTCGTTACGTGGTGACTGCTAAAATAAGTCACAATCTCAGTCACAGTTCGACGGAAACAAACCATCGATGGTACTGAGCTTAGAGAGAAAGGTATCCTCGGCGTCGCTGGCCGGAGGCACTTTATGCTGGGACGTTGCTGTCTTGCAACTAGATCAGGAGGGATCTTCACTGCCCCCACTGTAGCTACGAACTACTACGGACTACGAACTTCCACGGACTGCCCCCACTACAGACTACGAGCGTAGCCAAAAAGTAGGGCGTGACCTACTGGAATCCTGTGCACTTCCAGGCGGCAGCCGGGATCATACAACCGTTCATACGATTTGGGCCCCAGATAATCGTGTTGTACCCCCGGGGCTTAAGCCAGTCTCCAGAAATCGCCTGGCCATTCATCTGTCCCAGGGCGGCAAATCCTGGTGGACACGCCCTGGCAGGTGCCTCAGCTGTCACCAGGGACGGACACACCTCTCCCTGCCTAGAGCGACCCATACCTTCGCTGTCGCTAGACTCGCAGTGGATGGTTGGCTCAGCGCTATCCCTGCCCACTGTGAGCCATACCATCGGTGTTGCTGGCCTTGCAGTGAAGGGCGGGGGGGGGGGGGGGGGGAGGGTTCGGAGCTCTCCGTGCCCAATGTGAGCCACACCTTCGGTGTCGCTAGTCTCGCAGTGGAGGGCGGGCTGAGAGCTCTCCCTGCCTACAATGGGGCATACCTTCACTGTCGTTGGCCTCGCAGTGGAGGGCGAGCTCAGAGCTCTCCCTGTCACATGTGAGCCGTACCTTCAGTATCGCTGGCCTCGCAGTGTAAGGCAGGCTCGGAGCTGACCGCTCTGGCGGCGCTCAGCTTGCTACTGATGAGCGCCTGGCGGTCCGACAGCTGGCTCAGCAGAGAGCGGGCATCCTCCTGCGCGAGAGCGAACGCTGTGATCCGCAGCCATTACCAGAAACACGCAGCATCCCAGCTTGGAGAGAAAAGTGGGCCAGCTCCAGAGATATGCATCTTTTTTGCTACTGCCACAAGTTGGGTTAGATTTTGCAGTTTTCCTCCGCTCGGTCCTCCCAAAACAGTCTATTTTGCGAAATTACACCCGCATCCCAAACAATTTCTATCGGCATTCAGAAAGTGGATAGCTTGGATGATAATTTGCGTCGATTGTATGTGTCGTGGTACTGATATTTCTGCTATATCCAAATGGCATCGCATGACCCCATCATCTGAATTTATTGATTTATGTTCGCTGATTCACAGTTGCAGCATGCTAGCAGGCAAAAGTGTAACCGAAGAACAACATTCTTAAGATGCACCTTGACTCAACCATTTCGACGTCCCGTTTGAACCACAAACAAACTCCAGTCCCTTGTTCGTTTACAAAAGCAGCTAAATCGAACCCAACGACCGAACAGACACGAACTCGCCGCAAACGGCTAAACACTGCGTAAAATCAGCTGGCGCAGCGGCGAGACATTCCGCACACAATCAGCTGACAGAGCGGCCGAATATTCCGAGCCGCGTCGTCTGTCGTGGCGCGACGGCGTTGGCCGCTGCCCGGGCTGCAGCGGAGCAACTGTCGGTGTCTCGCCGCAGCAGTGGTCAGGCCCCGGCTGGTGCCACTGGCCGCTGCCCCGGCTGCAGCGGGGCAACTGTCGGTGTCCCGCCGCAGCAGTGGTCAGACCCCGGCTGGTGCCACTGGCCGCTGCCCCGGCTGCAGCGGGGCAACTGTCGGTGTCCCGCCGCAGCAGTGGTCAGACCCCGGCTGGTGCCACTGGCCGCTGCCCCGGCTGCAGCGGAGCAACTGTCGGTGTCTCGCCGCAGCAGTGGTCAGGCCCCGGCTGAGGCCACTGGCCGCTGCCCCGGCTACCGACCTGCTGCTGCTGGAGCGCCGCTGCGTCCGCGCGGAGCGGCTCCAGCTGATTGAGCTCCGTCTCCTTCCTGATGACCCACTCCAGCAGCTCCTGCAGGAGAGCAGCAGCCCGCCGCGCCCCTCGCGGCCCAGCTCCGCCTGCGACCTGCGGACGGCACCGGCGCCGGGTCAGCTGAGGTGGACCTCAGCGGCCACTGCGGCGGACACAGGTGGTTACATATCTGAAGGATTGGGGATCCTCCTGAATGGGTAGATCGTGTGGACTACACACACGAGGGGAGAATCCTATGAACGTGGATGTGGCAAAGGTGCGGAAATGCACGTCTCGCAAGTCGGAATCGCGATCTTAGGCCAATGTTCATCAACGTTAGTGTGACCGTCGCCACGCCTGAGGCCGTACCTGCGATCTCCACTCTCCACTCATGTCCGCACTGGACAAAGTAAGAGGAAACACGTCTAAACGTGACGGAGGACACAAATCGCATGATATTTTCGCCGTGCCAGTCATATCTTGTCTGTTATCATAGTTATCTGTTATCGTAGTTATCTCTGGTAGATCATCAGAGCCTACTGGTCTCCGTGGTAAACGCGTGGCTCTCCAGTTCAAGCATTATGACCTAACCGTGTGACCGTACGGCTGTGACGTCACTGTGGCCTGGCCGCGTGAATGTCAAGCTGACCTGGTTTCAAAAATCATCCTCAGTAATCGATCAACGATGGCACACACCCAACATGTGCGCAAACACGTGCCATAACTCACAACTCTCATCCTGCGTGCTTCCAGCCCACTGGCACGGCGTCCCGTTAGTTGCGGGCACGTCCGCGCGATGTCGCTGCTGATGAGAACAAGTGTGCAGATGGCGCTAATGCTTCCCCGCCCCGGCACGGATCCAAGCGCAATCAAGCAGGCAGGCGCTCATGGATGACATGTCTCTGTCCTAGCCATGGTCATAATAACGCACTGTGCCGTAACACATTCTCTTCATGGAAGTAGACTGAGAGTTTCCGTATCGAACTCAGATGACGGAATTGTCAACATGACGTGGTGGGAACGACACGATAACATTTAAACGTCAAGTGTTGTAAGACAATACATGACCATAGTTGGCCACTGCAGTGCAATTTTTGGCAAATAACGAAGCACCTTGGAAAATGTTCATAAGCGCAAAGTGTCTAAGATCCAGGGCTGAAACTTTTCAGCGCGCATAAACAAGGCAGGGATGAAACCAGACGCAAACGTATCGCCAACGGTGCTGCATCGGAGACGCCTTCTCAGATGACAATTAAATTTGCCCAGAATGTGTTGTATAATCTTAAAAGCCTTATGTCTGCACCAGAATTAATGGGACAACGGATCAGAAACATGAATTCCTATTTGGAAGTGAAATGTTGGGTTAGCCAGGAAAATGAAGAACGATGCGCGCCAGAGGTCGCGCTGCGTTACTCCCGTTCCTCTTACCGCGCTACTCTCGAGAGCGTTACTCTTGAATCCAAACGCATCTATTCCTCACTTCAAGTGCCTTTGGAGCTCTCCTCCTGCTTTCCGCTTGCAGCATCCACGCTCGCAGCGCATTCTAACCGCCATTAATTATTGTCTTTGCTTGGCGTCAGCTGTGACCCTCGGAAACGAAACGATGACACAACCGTGAGCACAAAACTGGGGCGTGTTTGTCCATCGTTAACTCAGGGCATTGGGGGGACACCGCCAGTTGATTTTGCGAGGCTGGCTGCCGGGGCGGCGGAACCCACAGAGTTCACTGTATTTTTTCCGGGACCCTGACGCGGCGGACGAGTGGTTCGAGGTGTTGCCCCAGTTGAGTCGAGCGGCATCCCACGGGAGGCCGGCGGCAGGAACACCAACAGGAGCGGGGGAAATCGATGACAAGAGTCACCTGGGAGCGCCGCAGTGAGCCGTCTTAAAAGGAAGGCGGCGGATGAATACGAATGACGCGTCCCATCAGGTCCCGTTTGTGTCCGCTATTGTGCGGGCTTTCAGGCTATTCGTCTGTCTAGACGTGAGGGCTGACAAAAATAGTTTGATTTGATTTGATTTGTTATCTGTTGAGTTCTGATCACTCTATTTCTGCTGAGATTAATTAAATGTTTTCTGCGGGATCCATATCGCTCGACTGGTAACAATGGTCTTTGCGCATGACCCCGATGGCTGCATGCGCCAAACAATACATGTTTTTTGTATGCACCTTGAACCTATCACCCGATAGCCGCTACCCTAGTTTTTTGGTCACCGCTTACAGCTCTTTGTGAAAGCGAGAAAAGCGTGTTTTTTTCCGCGGCGTCGCCTACCAAAACAGGCGACCTTTTCAGTGAATAACATCAGTCGTCTTTCGGGCCCTGTCCTCCGCCATGTCACGGCCCAGTGACTAGACGCCACGCTCTGTACGAGGGGCGTGACCCAAGTTAGGCGTGTCGCAGACACGGGCGACGCTGGCATCAAAGCTGATGACGGCTAGGTGACACAATGGCCATTGAAACGCAAATCAGACGCGTGCTGGTCCAGGAAACAAATGCTAGTTTTTGCCGGACGACGTGGTAATAGCATGGTGGCAGGGGCACACCCAAGTGCGGAATAGCTGGGTGTACCTTCCTTTCCGTTCGTGTAGTGTTGTTTTTACGTGTTCAGTGCATCGTTTGTGCGAATAAGTATGCCGCTGATGCGGAGAAGTGGAAGTTATCCCTGGCGAGAAAACTGCAGCGACGATGAAAAGGGAAAGACCAAAACCAAAATGGAAATAAACTGCATCCGTGGTGTGGTATATCGAGAACGAGAACCGGCCACCCTGTAAGTTACACGACCTCTGATGACTGGTGTCTGGACAGCCCAGATGTTCACCCAGACATCGAGACGTTTTCATGCCGCAGACAGTGGCTGATTGCGAAAGACAATTGTTTGCAAGTTCGGCAAACATGTCTGTGACCACGCGTAAAGAAACCAGCATCAGACCTTAAGAAGGGGCCCGAAGTCAGTTGTGTAATGGCAAGTTTAAAAGGTCGGCATCAACTGCATTTAAATCAATTAAAAACAGTGCAGTCCAAGTTTTTCCTCGTTTGGAATAAACCATGATCTCGATGGCCCATGGGCTGGCTCTTGATCGCGCACCCACGTTGGTGCGTGTGGGTCTTGATGGACGGCACTGTGAGAATGGCGCGCATTGACTGACATTGCGCCATGGCGTGCTTCGCTCTGGTGCGAGCTGACGTTCTACAGAGCATGACATATCGACAAATAGCACAACATATGCTCTGTTGTGCTGTCTTGCGATCATTCACATGCACGCCTGGTTCGGCTGATCGCAGCTGCTGGTCGTTGGTCCCCATTATGCCGTGGCACGCGCTTCATCAATTCGTCGCCTATTCGTTCTGTCGCGTTATGCGTGACACTTGGAACTCCATGGAGTTCGTGAAAGGTTGTCGTATGCAACAAGCAACCACAACCCTGAATAGGTAAAATAAAGCCCCCACTCGGTGCTGGATCATAACGCAGCTATGCACGTTCTCTCCCCACCCCCTCCCCCGAAGCCAATTTTAAGCTGTCGATCAACGTCTGTTTGTGATCGCTCCATCAATCCAGCAAGTGCATTATTGGCTTTGAGCCAGCAAGGTGCCCTGTTCGCATCGCGGACATGACGCCAAGTAGACCATGGCCCATCTCCTCACGTAAAAGTGTTGCATCAACCCAGCGGTCATGCCTGGTAAATGATGACCTCCATGAAGAGTCTGACCCACCCACTGTTTAGGACGTGCTTACTTCGCTGGAAGAGTCCCTGCTCACGTTCTCTGTCGCCAGTGCGTGACTGTCGCCGCAGACACCGCTCCAGACAACGAAGCAGAATTGACCGCCACGCCCCGGTCACGTCACCGGCCGGCACGCCGCCGCGCCGCGATCACGTGACTGACCGAGCTCATCGCTGATCCCCGTCATTGGTCGCCGGCATCTGCGCGGGCCCGGGCGACCCCTCCCCCCTCTCGGTGACCCCTCCCCCCGGAGGGGTGCTGTTGACGTCAACTGTCGCGGGTGGCGAGGTAAATACGGCTGCCGGGTGCCATGTGGCGGGTGAAAGGTCACAAGGGGATGGGGTGAGGCGACAAGTCCGCGTAACCAGTCCATCGATTCGGAAGAGATGAGAAGAGGGCTGACCTGGAGGCAGTGTCACTGTAGCCGGTTATGCACGTGCATTTAGCAGATGTTATTGGAGCCGTCACTCATATGATGGTATTTGGGGACATTTATTCGGACAGTCCGCCCGACTTCGAAATACTGGGCAGCTTTAAAAAAATCATGGAAATTCACACCATACGTTGAGCGGTGGGGCAGGGGACTAAGCAGCAAACGGTAATGAAACTTGCCCCCAAAATTCGCCAAAAATCCAATTTCGTTTCAGATATAGTACACTTTCTTCCCAACGTTGGAGGAAGCTGAAGCCCAGGATGGCGGGCGGATCTGGGACCCCCAAAGTGGGTAGGACATGCCAACCACACGTACAAGCCTCTTACGGCTCTGAACTTTAGCTTCGGGGAAATAAGCGGCGTTAAGAAAAGATGGCTTGGAACTCCAAAGCTCCCACCAAATATTTTGAAGGGTTGGTTTTCGAAAGCTCGTATAAAATAGGGAAAGATGCGGGGCATCTAATTTTGGGATTACTTTAAAAAACAAAACTAGCGGGCAGTGAAACCATGTCGGACAGACAACACGACTCGGTAAACGATGCTCGCGATCAGTTATCGGACGTCCGAGGCACTGCATGCCGGTTTTGTTTCCACATGCAAATGCACAATATATAATATATATATATATATATATATATATATGCATGCTGTTGAATGTAGGAACTATAGTTCTGTAGCCTCAATCATCAAAAAGCCAGGCGAAGAGCCCAAGCACTTCGAAATCACGTCTGATGACTTACAAGCATACGTGTAAAGGACATCTCACTTCCGCTGACAAACTACGCTTAACTGCCGAAAAATAAGGATCTGGGCCAATAGCGATATATTTCTTGACTCCCTTTAACATAGCACGGCGAGATTATAAAATGAATAACTTTGTAATTTTCCTGGTAAAACCTAA